CAGGATCGAACATTGTTTCGTTCTGCTGTGCATGGAGTCGCTATGAGTCGGTTCCGACTCGATGGCACCTGACAACAACAACAACAAACCCATTACTGCTGTGAATAGGACAATCTATCTCACTGGGGTTTTCCTCTTTCTCTCTAACCCTCCAATTTATGAAACATGATATCCTTCTCCTTACAATATGTCCAAAGAATGAGAGACAAAGTCTGGCCATTCTGGCTTCCAAGGAGCACTCAGGCTGTACTTACTCCCACTCAGATCTGTTTGTTCTTTTGCAGTCCATGGTATTTTCTATATTCTCCAACACCATAGCTAAAATGCATCTTCTATGGTTGCCGGTATTCATTGTCCATTCTTTGCATGTATATAATATTATTGAAAATGCCATGTCTTGGGTCAGGTGCACTTTAGTCCTCAGATTGACATCTTTGCTCATAAACACTTTAAAGAGGTGTTGTGCAGCAGATTAATCTAATGTAATATGTCATTTGATTTCTTTGCTGCTGTTTCCATAAGTGTTGACAGTTGATCTGAGCAAAATGATGTCTTTGACCCCAATATTTTATACATTTATATGGATGTTGTTAATTGGCCCAGTGGTGAGGATTTTTATTTTCTTTACACTGAAATACAACTCATATTGCAGGCAGTGGTCTTTGATCTTCATTGGTAAGTATTCTAAAAACTCTTTGCTTTCAGCAAGCAAGGTTGTATCATCTGCATATTGCGGGTTGTTAATGAGTCTTCCTCCACTCCTGATGTCATGTTTTTCTTCATATAATCCAGCTTCTCAAACTATGTGCTCAGCATACAGATTGAGTAAGTATAGTGAAAGAATAGAACCCTGGTGCACACCTTTCCTGATTTTAAATCATTCGGTGTTCCCTTGTTCTCTTCAAGCAACTGCCTCTTAGTCTATGTACAGGTTCCTCATGAGCACAATTAAGTGTTCTAGAATATTCACTGTGCACAATCTTGTCCATAGTTTGTCATGATGCACACAATCTAAAGACCTTGTGTAGTCAATAAAGCACAAGTAGACACTTTTCTGGTATTTTCTGCTTCTAGCCAAGATCCATTTGACTTCAGCAAGGTTATTCCTCATTCCACGTCCTTGTCTGAAACTGGCTTGAACCTCTGGAAGTTCTCTCTCAATGTGTAGTTGCCGATGTTTTTAAATTATCTTTCGTAAAACTTCACTCAATTGAAATAGCAATGCTATTATCTGATGATTTCCACATTTTGTTGGGTCACCTCTCTTTAGAATTGGCACAAATACTAATCTCTTCCAGTCAGTTGGCCACGTAGTTGTCTCTCAAATTTTTTGGAATAGATGAGTGAGTGCTTCCAGTTTGTTATAATATTTCTATTTTGCTTCCATTAATACCCAGTGCCTTGTTTTTTGCCAATGCCTTCAATGTACCTTGGACTTCTTCCTTCAAGATCATTGGCTCTTGATCATATGTTACCTTTTGAAATGGTTGAACAACAAACATTTCTTTTTGGTACAGTGATTCCATGT